TCAAAGTGGTTTTCTTCCTTTCAAAGTTAAAATAGTTCATCAATAAAAGCCACAACAGTGCAATAGTGTTACCCGTTTGAGTTATTCCCGGCGCTTTTTTCTTTAGCATTATGGCCTGTGAATACTTATGAAGAAGACTATGATGACTCACTCCTTGAGGTATATTTAAGTCACCATTTTTAAAACCACATTTAATAATAAAAAAAAATAAAATAATAATAAAAAAAGGGCATCCAGAGCATGTCTGATCCCCTGGTTTCAAATCTAGTCATTTTTAGCCTATGGCTCTGAACTAGAGCCGATACACACATGGCTGGCCTTCTTTAACTGAGAACTATAAAGACATCCTTATCTAGCTGGCCGATGCCTAAACTTGAGAAGCAGAGAGAGACCCAAACATGGACTTACATATTCAAATCTCCAATTTAAAAAGTACTACAAGTTGCTGTGCATTAAACAGGTACATTTAAGGCACGCTGCACCAAAAGAACAGGTAAGGTTCGCCTCACCTCTGTCACTGCTGGTTGTGTAAGCCTGAGCAAGTTACTTAACCTCTTGTGCCTCGGGGTCCTCATCTGCAGAATGGCAGTGAGAACAGCACCCACCTCATAGGGTGGTAGTGAGGAGTCAATGAGACATGTGACGATAAGCATGACCCGAAACTCTTGTCGTTTTTACTGCCACCGAGGACAAGAAGGTAGAGAACTCTAATTGAATTGCTCAGCTTTACAGAAAGACTCCAAAAGAATAAAAAAAAGCTTTCAGGAAACTCGGTGCTGTTATCAGATGGAAACTTTGGGAGTACTCTTCTACAGCAGACTTCAAAATGTTTCTACAATTTAATACTACTCAGCACAAATACTCAGATAAGTTGGCTTGCCATGTGCTTCCTGTGAATCTGCTATCAGAGTCACAAGCAAACTCCTTTCCTAACTAAACACCACACGTTCATATACTGCGTGGGTCTATTTTCTACGCCCGCCGACGATTAAGTAAAAACTTCTCTTTTCAAGGGCTGAGGAACTGAGCGCAGCTTGCCTCCATTAGACATGCCCCATATGTCACTCTCTATCCTTTAGGTTTTGTGCCTGTCCCTCAGGCGGCTTATAGAGAGTTGAGTTGCCCAACTGGATTTGCTCTCTATTGACAGAAATCATCTCTACAACAGACACTCCTGGGCTGCTAAATGATAAGACCTCTCCCTGGTATCTTCAAATGGAAGACAAATTACATTCTTTAGCTTATCTCCTACTCCCTCTCCGACGTAAACAATTGTCAGAGGCACAAAATGCATCTGCTTTCCCTTCAGTCCTCACTGTCCAAGTCAAGGGAGAGGTATGTCCTGACACTCCTGAGGGGCATCCCTGTGCAGATAAGGGAGGAGGGGGTCTTTACCAGGTGCACCCCTAGGCTTGATTTTAAGTAACAGGGAAATAAACTCGTTAAAATACCTAAATCTTACATGTACAGAATTTCTGTGCATTCAGTTCCCAATTTGCCTTCTAGGACACAAAAATATTCATGCAAATAACAATTCTGTGCATTCAATGAGGATTTAAGTGGCTCCCACAAGTTGAAAAACTAAATCTAATAAAGTGCACTTAAATTGAACATACCAAGAAACTTTAGATTACTTAAAAAAAAAGTAGGGAGAAACAGGAGAGGGGCAAACACTGAAAAAAATGAACAATAAAACTTTTACTTTCTACCATAAGGTCCTTTCAGCCCCCCACAAAAACCCCAAACCTTTTTCAGTTCCTATTTCTAATTTTGCTTTAGTCTCTAAAAGGAAAACTGAATCAAAATGAAAAGAAAAAATGGTAGGTTAGATGTGAGTGGAGTCCAGAGCATGCAAGGACTGAGGAGTTATTTGTGCATTGTGCAATTCCTCCAGTCAAACTGTAATTCTCTGGTGGTATCTATGATGATGTCAATTTTGGTGATTTATAACTTTGAAGTAGGTTTGAGCAGACCACCCCAGCCAAAAAGATTTTCTTCACACATGAATAACACTAGAAAATGGGACAAAAGAAAAATGAAATCACAGCTATTTCTAGATAAGTGGACATATTTATACTTATTTTTTCCTAAAATATTAGTAGAGGTATTTATAAGTAATTACACTTTTAATTTTAAAAAAAGGTAGGATAAGCAAAGAAGTGTTATAAGCAATTACACTTTTATTTAACAATAAAAGGTAATATTAACTTAAAAAAAATTTTTTTTTTCCTTATTTGGACATGTCCTAAGAGCCAATCCAAATACACGTCTTTGTCAAGTAAGGTTATCATCTCCCAGTGAAACCTGAGATTTGGGGAAAAGTTCAGCAATGTGTCAGGAGCAGCCTCTTTCCCAGGGGCAGGAATGGGTCTGCTCTATTTGAAGGAGGTATCTTCTTTCCTCCTTCATCCATGGCCTCCTTGCCCCACTCTGTCATAAAATGCTATCTGCCCAAATATTTTCATTTCTAATGAAGTCTGACTGCTGGAAAGACACAAGACATGAGTAGGGAGTAATAAAACGAATTCCCCCAAATGACAGGGGGCCTGGTGAGGAAAGATACAGGCACTGGAGCTGGGTTTAAAAAAAAAAATGAAGCCCTGTCTTCTGTAAATGATCCAGAAAATGCACAGGATTGTGTTTGTTAGGATGTGAAGTATTTGTTATGTACATGTGTCCAAATGACTGAAACTTCATCCTTTAACCTTCCCAGAGAAAACAGCATCCATGGAAGGTCATCCTATAGCCCTCTGCGCCTCTGATTTCTATCAGTGGGATCAAGCCAGACCACCAGGAGGCCACACAAGGACTGTCTCATCTCCACCCATGACATAATGTCACAGCCTCAGATTTGATGTCAAAAGTAGGCCATGTGGATTCTGTTATTCTATTTATTATGAACACATATCATACAGTGCCTCTTACAATAATAGCAATATTTAAAAAAAATTAATTCCACACAAAAAATCTACCTGATAGTGGCATATTAGAAAATGGTACTTTGTCCTCTGTGAACTGGTAAGCAACGTCCTCCTGAATGATGACAGTGAGGCACCTGACCCTGTCTCCTCTCCTGACTGCCAGGGAACTTGAGTTATCTTGGAAGCTCAGACGCGGCAACCACAAGAACTCTGGTGGGCCCCACAAGCCTGACATCAATTTCTATTTCCCTTTGTTTCTGATTTTCTACCTGATAATTAGTTCACTCCAGGTATGTTTCTTGGAAACCTCCCCAAATGCTTTTCACAACAAAATGGGGTAGAAATGAATAAATCAACAAACAGCATGGCTTGAGGACAGCCGATGCAAGGAACACGCTTTGGCTCTGGAATGTGCTGGGTTGCAGGGGTTCTTAACCCGGGGTGTGTGGATGGGCTTCCCGCAAGCCTTGAAATTCCTGTAAGGGAATGCAAAATCCTGGGGGATAATGCTTTTTACCTAGGCCTGTAGCATGCACCAGAGTCCCCAAAGGTTAAGAAGCACTGCTCCCCAATTCTGTAGCAAAAAAGACCAAGAATCTTGGCCAACTAAGTGAAGCCAGGCAAGGGAGCCAGCGAGGTACAACAAAAGGCTAAGTCAGCCCTGGGCTTATACCAACCCCGTGCTTCTGTGCAGTGAGCAGTCTTTCTCATCCAAGTTGGACCATCACATTACTCATCTGGTTGCATATTAACCTACCAGATGGTCTGCTGAAGCTACCAAGGGTCTGCGGCTGCTGAGGCGGCTGCGGCTGCGGTTGTGGCTGTTGCGGCGGTGGCTGCTGCTGCTGCATGCCAGGCAACGTCCTTTTCCCCTGGACTGCAAGCTGCAGTGTTTCAGGGAGGTGCTGGCCCCGGGCCAGCATTTTGTAAGCTAAAATCTGAGCTCGCAGCTGATGCAGCTGGACAGGACTAAAAGGCGAGGGACCTCTGTTGGGCTGGTTCATCGCCTGCGGATCGCCCTGGATAAGGGGCCCCGGTTGGTTCGGTGGCATCTGGGGCGGGGTTGGGCCACCTCCCGACGACATAGGGCTAGAGATATGTTCTGCAGTTCCCAACGGAGATGGGTGCGGTGACATATAACCTAGAAGAAAACACAAAAGGAGATCACAGTCTGCCCCTGATGACCCTGGAACAGAGGCTTCCTGAATATTTTGACAATTTTCTAAAACAACACTGATAAAAATTTAAAGTATGTAAAATGCAGTAAGTATTTAATTATATGTATATATAATTAAAAATGTGCATATATCAAATATAAAATTTTCTAGTTGTCACATTAAAAAGGAAAAGAAACAGACAAAACTAATGTTAATATTTTGTTTAAATCAAAATACCCAAAATATTATCATTTCAAAATAAAAAAAAATAATTAAAGAGATATTTTACATACTTTTTTTCACACTAAGGTACAGCACATCTCAATTCGGACTAGCCACATTTCAAGTGCTCAATAGCCACATGTGTCCTAGAAGCTAAATTGTTAGCGACTGTCATACGAGTATACCTACAGAGAAGGCACCAGGGGTTGGTATTAAGCATTAAAAGTAGCTCCTACCTGGAGAACAAAACCTGAAGGTGTCTAGTATAGCACAATGTGAAACGAAGGGTCTCTTACGGGGGTAACAAGTAGTCTTTGGTTTATTGTTATGCACATTCTGAATAACTGGCAGTTACAGAGGGCCTCCACTGTTGTAGGCAGTGTGTTAGGCACCGTACACTATCGTTGGTGAGCCCTCGCTGGAAACAGAGCCTGATGGAAGGTTGAAGTGCAGGTGATTTACCGTATTTGCCGGCGTATAAGACGACTCGGCGTATAAGACGACTCCCTAACATTTCCACTCAAAATACAGAGTTTGTTATATGGTCGGCTGTGTGCGATTTTGCGAGTGTGGTAAAATCGCATAACAGCAAAATCGCATAACAGCCGAGCATACACCCAGCAGCGCTGCTGATGCCTGAACGGTATGTGGAATGAAGTGGGCGGGCATCGGGAGGCCACTATGGCACGGGGCAAGCACTATGGGCAGTCTATCTGAAGTGGACCTGGCGTATAAGACGACCCCCCACTTGGAGGCATATTTTTCAGCACCAAAAAATCGTCTTATACGCCGGCAAATACGGTATATGGAAGGTGCAGGGACAGTCGCAGGGGAATGGAAAGGTGATATAAGGAAGGAAGGCAGCCAATGAGGAGTGTGATATTAATCCAGCAACTGCAGTGCGTGCCTGAAGATTACGCTCACGCAGAAGCTCTGAGATATAAGGTTAATAACTTGCCTCCACGTTATCCCAGGGAAGGGGTGAAGAAGCTGGGGTATTCACACTCCAGGGATCATCAGTCACTGCTTATGTCACTGGTGATGACTCTAGGGATAATTAGTTCCCAGGGACTTTTCCACGTGTGGGTAAGTTGGACATAAGCAGACTGAAGGCAAGATGGATGGTGACCTGGCTAGTGGGTATCAGGTTGGTGGGAGCACAGAAATGGTAAGGAGAATTAAAGAGATACGAATGGAGTGTACATTATTTCTTTAATCCTCACAACATCCCAGAAGATCTATATTGTCACCTCATGTTTTTAAAATGAGGAAACTGAGACTCAGAGAGTGAGTGCGTCTCCCAAGGTCACACCATTAGATCTTGGCAGCTCTAAGAGTCAAACCACGGTTCATCTGATTCCAATGAGTATGTTCTCTCCATGGTCTAATATTAATTTGGTTTTATAAAAATATTCATATTCGTTTTGGTTTCAAGTTTCAAATTTAGAAGTTTCAAAAATCTTCCAGATGATTATGATATAACATTAAAATGACAGTAATTTGTTGGGTTATAAGAGATCTAAATGGGAAATTTAAGAGTACTTTTCTTGGGGAAAAGAAGTCAAAATGCACAAAAATTTCAAGGAGCTAATTTCAGGAGATGAATTGTATAGCCTGGCCAAAGAATTCCTAGAAAAACATATGACTGAGTGTTGTTGGAGGGAGGTCCAAGATGAAGGAGAGAACAAAGTGTCCTACTGCAATACAAAAGGTTGCCTCGAATTCAAACTAAATGCTAATTAGTGAAGTCAAAGGTGTCCTCAGACACAATATAAAATATTAGATGAAAGATCTTTGCCCTTCAATAAATGTATTTGCATCACAATTATCATAAAGGTCATCACACAGGTGTTTATTAGACATCTGCTGTGTGTTTGAACCTAAGGCAAGTTTGAGCTGAAACAGCTCTGTGCATCTAGGTGGAAACAGAGACCTGAGACTATGCAACCATCACCAGTTTGGTGATGCGGACTCACCATCACCATTCACAAGACTACAGAAAATAAAGGATACTGTTACTTTTGTCTCAAATTGCCATTTGGAAAGGGAAACAAATTTAGCTTGATTCCCTAAGATAAGAGTAGGTTTTGTTCTATCTGTTGGTGAGAGGTAGAACTCCATTCAGCGAAATCCTGTCTTGAAGAGAAATGGAAGAACTATCTCATTCCCCAAATCTCTATTCCAGAATGGAGCACAAAAACCATGCAGCAATTACTCATGTGAATTAGCCAAGAAAATACCCCTGAAATCAGCCTGCAAGACTAGCAGCAATTTAATTCCAGTATATTGTTATTTACAAATAGAGAATATCAATAACATACACCTAACTTCATCATTAACATTCAACATTCTTCCTTTTCCTTCTTAATGAGGCTTACATTTGCCCTTTAATTGTAATGTTGGTGCAAAATGGCAGTTTGTTCATTATGAAAGCACCTTTCTGCCACCTTTTTAGCTAACCCTGCACCTATCACAAGGAGAAAAACTTCCTACCACAGCTAATGACATTTTCATAGTAGAAGGGATACAACCAGGTGTTAAAAATGGGTCATATGTCTCTTGCCTTCTGGTCTCTCCTATCCTAAGGTCATCAGTTATAGCTTACTCATGATAAATCATAGGATGCCTAATACAATAAACTAACACATTAGACAATCCAGTCTAAACTCAACTATATATCACTGTTTATCAGATCGCTCTTCTACACTATGAACTATGTGGCCAGGCCAAGTTAGGAAGGTGAGACTGTTACGTTAAACACAATAATTAACTTTATTTCAAATTTGCTAAGAAAGAAACAGAGTGGAATAAAAGCTGTTTTCCAGAATTAATCAATAAACAAACTTTTACCTCAAATGTAGTAAGAAACTGAGGGTGGGAAAAATTGTTTCCTAGAATTTATAGGGGCTGTTAATAGAATCATTCCATCACAGTATGATATTAAAAATGTGACAGTGTCTCACCTAGAGATATTTTTTTTTCTAGATGACTAGCAGTCTATAAAACATCAGGAAAAACAGAATCTAAATGATGAAACAACAGAACGTATTTTGGTAATTATCTCTAGTTGAGAAAAGAGTACAGGAACTGCCTGCGAGTGAATATACATTTGTCTGTAGGATGACAGTGTTGATGCAGAATCTGCTCTTTTTGAAATCTGGCTTGATTTGCTCATTCAAAAGTAGTCAAAAAGTGGCAGTTTCCCTTCCCTAGTCTTCAAGGGCCATTATCTCCCCAGTTTCACCTTGCCTCAGAGAGAAGCAATCACCTCTCCTTTTAATAATCTTGAACCAAGTGCCAATTTTATATGAATTTTCTCTTCACACATACATACATACACATACACACAAACATTATTATATAACTTGCCTTTTAAGGCTTTTTTTTAACCTAACAGACTAAAAATAAACAATGTTATCATTGGGACCATAAGGTACACAATTCAGTATTTATTGAAGGAAACGGTTTTGCTTCTCAACCAATACCTTAAAATAACCTAATAGGTTGCTAGGTAGTTAAAGCTGGAAGCTTTCCGATCAATAACACACCTCTCTGTACCTGTGTGCTTATAAATGGCTTTCTACAATGGTGTTTCTAAAGACACATGCTATTACAGAGTCCAAATTCTTTTTAAATCATTATATAGAATATGACTGCATTGTATCAATACTACTTCATCAAAAATACACTTTTAAATAACTTATTCCCCAGCCTACAACACACTTTGATATTTTAGAGAAAAATATTACATGCTAATTCTGATTCCATTTAATGCAGACCTCTGTATTTCAAAGTAATTATAATTTACTGAAATTATATAAAAATTAAGATCTATTTAAAATTGTTAGCTTTTGAATGCATAGGTTCACTTTTCTACCTAATTGAACAAAATTTACTAAGTATCTATCTAGTCATGCCCTAGGCAGTGTACCAAGTGTTGGAGATTCCAAGAAAAAAAATCATCATTCTTAAATTGAAGAAAGGAACCAAGCAATGAGAGAAATTCGAAGACACATAAAATTAAAAATGCTCAAGTATAATTCATGCATTTAAAGTGTTTTGTTTTGAAGTTTTCCTATGGCCCCACTATTAGGAGTACTGCAAAGCCAGGAGCAGACAGAGCTAGCACCTGGCTTTGAGAATTACTTAATATAACTCATCTACACCTCCCAGGTATTAAAAATGAGATCTACATTAGCTGTGTGAACACACTGGCTTCTTAGAATTTAAATGATAAACCTAGAAGTGTAGTCTTAATTCGTTCTTAACACCAAATGAATCAATTTTTTTCTTCCTGGACTGCAAAAATTCCAAGATTTCAGGCTGCTTTTCTGACAGGATCAAGATTTTATGAGTTGTCTGCAACAGTTATGCCTACCTGTCATCAAAATTCAGATCAGAGTCTGGGATATTCGAAATCTGTTTGAATATTAGTGAAGACATACTTCTATGAGACCTCCATGAATCAATCAATCTCCTCCCTCTCTCCCTCTGTGTGTGTGTGTGTGTGTGTGTGTGTGTGTGTGTGTGTATGTATATATGCTGAATACATTTTTCTAAATCCTCACAGTCAAAAATCTCTCAGATGGATAGATATCTGATCATGTATGGAGAAAAAAACTCATATACCTTAAATTACAGTGGAGTATGCACAGCAACACACATAAACCATAAACTTTCAATTTGAATATCAAATTAGGGTTAATTATTGCTAGATTAACCCATGCCCTTTGCATGTTGAAATGACTATACAATCATTCTGAAAACAAGTTACATTGTATTCAAAAGACTTTGAGGTATCTTTAATATGCCTCCAACAGTGAAGGATGAAGACACCAAGGAGAAAAGAAATATATCATATATTGATCTGGCCGGTATTGTGGGTTGAATTGTGTCTCCACAAAGTATGTTGAAACCCTAACCCCCAGTACCTGTGAATGTGACCTTATTTGGAAATAGGATCTTTACAGATGTAATCAAATTAAGGTGAGGTCATAGCGCATTAGGGTAGGCCCTAATCCAACGACTGGTTTCCTTATAAGAACAGGGAAATCTGGACACAGACACAGAAAAAATGTCATGTGGAGACCAAGACAGAGATCAGAGTGATAGATCTACAAGCCAAGGAATTCCAAGGATTGCTGGCAATGACCAGGAGCTAGGAAGAGTCAGAGAAGAATTCTTCCCTAGAGCCTCCGAGAGCAGGGCCCTGCTGACACCTTGATTCCAGACTTCCAGCCTCCAGACCTGAGAGAATAATGTTCTGTTGTTGTTTTAAGCCAATGAGCTTGTGGTAATTTGTTACAGCAGCCCTAGAAGACGAATACAGCCACCTACCAGCAATGACAGGTAATTCCACTGTCAGAAAAAGCCACCTTACAGAGACAATGTATTAGTGTACGACTAGAGACACAGGTGGCTCATCTGACCTTCACATCTACACGGTTGCTGGGAGGCAGACCAGGAGTCTCCTTCTGGCCCTGTCACTGACGGGTTGTGCACACTTAGGAAAACACAGTAAATTCTCTGAGCTTTCGCTTCCTCATCTGTAAAACTGCGGTAATGTAATTTACCTTATAAGATCACGGTAATGATTTTACATGAAGTACACGAAGCGCTATGCAGAGTGCTTGGACTCGTGGGAGCTAATAAATTGCTCGGATTTTGTTAATGAAATTGACTTTATACATCATCAAGTTGTGTTGGTGGAGGCTGGGAGAGATTTCTAGAGGGAAAAGAAACCTGCTGGAGTCAATGTTCCATGTTCTCTGGGACTCATAATTCAAATCACCAATACAGAAGATGAAGGCTACGGTATGGAGCCAAAACTGGGTACGGAGCGTTACAGACCTTGGCTGTGTTGATCCATTGGACTCTGGGGAGGGCCCATTCCTGGGTGAGGTGGCCGCATACTGGCGCCCTTCATGGCTCCACAATGGATGTCTTCTACAACCCCCTTGTCGTGCATGCCATCAATGGGCTGAAACATTCAACGGACGTCAGTTAGATACTCCTTTAAGGCACAGTATTTCTATTTGGAGTTTTAAGATCCCTCTCTAAAGACTTCAAAATTGTGGCACAATCATCTGTTACCTACGTGACAGTCAGATATTTTTACACCTACATTACATATATTCTTATATATGACACATCTTTTATAGGTGGGGAAAAAATAAAAAATAGGATCAGCAAAACTATATGTAAGTCAAAAGTTAAGGCTGTAAACAATAGAATTTTTTTATTTTGTAATGTCAAAACCTGAAAATAAAAAAAATGTCCTGCTCACAAGGTATACAAATAGAAGCTGTGCTGCCATAACCTTTTCAGGAAGTCCTAAAACCTGCTGTATGTTGAAGTTAGTCCACAGTCTGCAGGAAGACTATTTGAAATGTCTGCAATGACTGTTTTTTTGGTAACTTTTTTGTCACTGGAGGAGAAAGAACCATGGAAAGTTTAAAAGTTGAAACCAGAACGTTCCATGGCAGTTGGGAAAAGACAAAACAGACAGGGTAGAGAAGTGAATGAGGGTGAATACTGGAAGGGAAAGAGTGTGAAATAGATGGAGCTACACTATACAGTGAGATGAAGACCCAAAAAGGTTAAAGGACACAGTATGGGAAAAAATTAAGAACACAGGGTCTGGAAACAGGACTCAAGGCCTAGTACATAACAGACACACAATAAATAGCAACTGAATTGACCTTAATCCAATCCAGAATTGGGCAACGGAGCATGTGTTTGAAAAAAGAAAAATCTATTCCTCCCCAAACTAGAATAGCAATTTTCAAAACAGCCTGAAAGGAATATTTCCAGGAGTTTATAGAAACCAAATGACTTCAAGCAAGAAAGTATGAGTGTTAGCAGTTTTGGAGAAAGGAAAGTTCATTTCTGCAGAGTCAAAAGCATACGCTTGAAAAGAGGAAAAATTTACCATAAAGAGGATGTTCGAAAGAAAAATGGGAAGAATTTGGTATAAAGAGTGTCTCTGAGTCTGTTAAATAGTAATAATAGAGAGGAAATCAAAGCAACACAGCAGATGTATTTAGGCCACTTGTTTATTTCCAGTAACGTTGAAAGGCAAAAAGCTGAAGCTCGGAGGCAGCAGGAGGAGGAAGACAAGGAATAAAGCTGCCTATAAAAGGAATCTAAGAAAGTGAAGGCATCTGGCCAGCAGGTGTGAACTCAGGCACTTAACCATGTCCTCACGCAGGGAGTTATCTGAGGGGCTAGGGGTTAAGGAAAACCAAGATGTCAAAAATTACAAAACTTGCAGAATGAGAGAAAAAAAAAGCATCGATGGGCGTAGAGAATATGAGAAAATGTGACAAAGATGCTAGGTAACAAAACACAAGGGATCAGAAGAGATAATTATCAATAAAAAACAATCCAATGCAAAAAAATATTAACGCTAACCCAACACTTGCTGACATTTAGCTTTTAAATGCTTAAACAATAATAAAGGTTAACTGAATATTTCCTTCTAATTTTATCTTTCATTTTGGAGGTGAGGCATCCTTAACCCCTTCTGAAATTATTCAACCTGGACTAAGGTTTACAAGTGACAGATCAGATCTATAATATAGTTCCCAAATTAATTTAATATGAGCACAAGACAATTTAATGACTTCAATATGTCTGTATATTCAATATGTCTGCTAAAAAATATGATATGGAAAACAGGCAGCTTTATTTCTTCAGATACTTGACAAGCTAAAAAGGTTTTTAAAAAAAAAAGAGGGGGAAAACTTGGGGATATTATAGGGATATCCATGATATATTTTTAAATGAATAGAGGACGTTTCAGAGTAATTAATAGTGACAATATGATTGTATCATGGTAAAGGTTATTTAAAAATCACACCTGTATACGCATCCTTATGCTTACATAGCATTTTTACTAAACAAAGAGTTAAGTAAGGTGTGAAAAGCATGTACAATAAACTGTTCCTGGAGTGAAGCCAGGATTAACCATTCCTTTATTTATCTCAGTATGGTTTTACGTTTCAAAATAAGCATATATTACTTTCCTGATTTGAAAATCATCAAATAACAAAATTTGTAAACAAGTAGTTCTCTTCTGAGCTATAATGCCTTACCTTAAAATTGACCTACAATCCTACAGAATTAGAGGAAAGACTTGCTCTTTTTTGCAGTAATCTTTGTGTTTTAAACCAGTGTCTTCCACAGCTTGTCTACATCAAGAGAAATCCCGTCACCCTAGGCTCCTGTGATGTTGTCCAAAGGGGATGTAAAACCTGTCTCACGAGACACAGCACTCAGGTAATATGCAATGGCCCCTTAGAATTTCTTTGGCTTTTGCTAACTTTCAAAGCAAATTGTCACAGAAGTTCTTGTTTACTTTCTCAAAAGGCTGTTCTCTCTTCTTTGCATCTCCTGTGAAGGCGTCATGCTAAAATCGTACCAATGTACCAATTGTACCAATCACAGCAACAATCCAAGTCTCATAAATAGAGGAATTTTATAACCTTAGTCCAGAAACAAACAAGTGGACCTGAGCTCTGCTAAATCATATCCCTCTTCCAAACCCAGGAGAAAGCAAAGTGTATTTTGGGAGTTTCCTAAAAATTATTTAAAATCTTTAGGAAGGGACTCATTTTTCTCTTCCTCTCTAGCATCTAATTTTAAAAATAAATACCAACACTTTTAAGGAAGAGCAATTTTCAATATGTTCAGTCATGGATGTAAGTTACTTAACACATATAGTCCAGAAAAAAAAAATCAAGACATGTACTTATTATATACTTACTCAACCAGATAAAATACCTGCAACCCACAAACCCCAGAATTTAACTATCAGAACTACATATTCTATATAGAATTTTTAAAAGGCCAAGATCTACTCTTCCTGAGTAGTACATCTGTAACAATAAAAGTGCCTCAGAATGTATGTTTTTAATAATATACAATATAAGACAAAGACCTAGCTTCTCTCATTAAAAATAGTAGAAAACAGAGGGGCAGGGGTTATCAGGGATATTAGCCATCCAGGACTCGGAAGACAACACTGAACAAGAGAACAAACTCTTACCTTATGTATTTGATGCATGCCTTCCTGTGGGAAGTCGGCAGATCCCATTGTAGGCATAGGATGAGAAACACTTGGAGGTCCAGGACTTGGCCCCATCATACTGTGGACGGAACCTGGGGATGGTCCAGGTCCTGGACTAGGTCCAAGAATTGGTCCAGGAGAGGGTCCGGGTCCTGGGGAAGGCCCTGGGTGGGGCATCGCTCCAGGGTCTGTGGGCGTGGACATCTACTTCTCCTGTCTCTGCCAGTCGGTACAATGAGGCTGAGTTGAAAAGAAGAGAAAGGAATGTTTTAAACATGATGTTAAGATCAGAATAAAACAGTTGTTAGTATTTGATGGTGCCATTTCTATAACAAACATCAAACAGAACTGCCCTGTCTGGTCCAGATGTTTGAGTGTGATATATATCCATCTGCCCTAGTCTTTATGGAGACCACTTGTTTAAAAGAAAAAAACACTCTAAATGATTCCCCAGAAAGATATAAATCATCTAAGCTACAAAAAAAGACTCACTGGAGAAACTCAAATTTAACACATAAGCAGAATTCTAAACAAGTTCAAAATTTATTACTAAAGTCAACAGATGCTCTCCATTACTTCCTGGCTTGGGCACCTTACAAGTCATTAACCCCCCAAAGCGATTAAAATATAAAACCCCTAAAAAAAGTATCCAAACAAGACCCATTTTCATAAGTAAATGGACACTCAAAACTTCATAGAGAATTCTAGATTGTTACGGGGGCGAGAAAGGGGAGTACAACTTCATAAACTGATAATGAAAGAGAATTCCTGATCATGGGAATAGCAAAGGAGGTTATGGGAGTCAGACAAACATCGGTACAAATACCCATATTATGTAATTACTAGCTGAAAGTGAAACGCAACAGTACATGTAGAAACATAGCTCTGTGCCTGGCACAACAAGCAGCCATCTATTATTATTATTATTATTATTATTATTATTATTATTATTACGATTATTATTATTGTGGTAAAATTGGTATACAGATTATATATATTCCATGTGTTCACCCTTATAGATATTTGTATATACTACCTAGTGGTTAGCACTATAAGTCTAGTCGCCATCTATCACCATACAGTTGAACCCCTTCACCCGTTTTGCACTGCCCCCCCCAAGGCCCTCCCCTCTGGTAACCACCAATCTGTTCACTGTATCTATGGCTTTGTTTTTGTTTTATTTTCTTTGTTCATTTTTTTCATATTGTAAGTATAAGTGAAATCATACAGTATTTGTCTTTCTCTATTTGACTTATTATACTTAGTATACTACTACCCTCGAGGTCTATCCATGTTATTGGAAATGGCAAGATTTCCTTCCTTTTTATGGCTGAGTAATATTCCATTATAGATATAGATAGATAGGCAGATAAAGACAGATAGGTCTCATATCATCTTTATCCATTCACCTATCAATGGACACTGAAGTTGCTTCCATGTCTTGGCTATTGTAAATAATGCTGCAATGAACATAGGGGTGTATATATGTCATTTTGAATTAGTGTTTTATTTTTCTTCAGCCATCTTATTTAGCATTATTTTCCCCACCACCTCTACTGTACCAGGAGTGATCCGAAGGATCAGTTTAAGATGTGGTCCTCCTGCCAGCTAATTAATTGAAGACAACTTGGACAGTTGAGGATTTGCCTCTCTGTGGTCCAACATTCCCGAAAGAAGTCATCCCTGACTACTGGATCAGGGCCCACCACAGACTAGGTATGCAAATTCTGGTTCTCCAATTTCAGCAAAGCAATATTCCATCGGCCACACTCCAAAACTTCTTGGCATCTCCACTGGGGAGCCGCCTCATAGGGTAGGTAAGGCTACATCTTGAATTATGAGCCAAAACGAGTAAATAAGCTCTTTTTCAATTCTGATGGAGATCAGTGATCCCAGCAAGATAGCTTAATGCCACTAGTAATGGTAATTGTTACATATTATGCTGTTTGGAGGCATACACCTGTACACACAAAAACTTTTCTGCTGTCAACCTTATAAAATACCAAGATACTAAGCAATCTGCTTACCCCACTGCTTAGTAGCAGGGATGGAATTAGACCATAGGGGCCCAGTCACCCATAGCAGAGGTCTTTCCACAGTGAAATGAGAGGTTTGAGGGGAAATTAAAAAAACCACATTAGTTCCATTCTTAGCCACCTACTGTCACCTTCCACTGACTCTCTAAAATGGGAAGGCCACGGAGGCAGGGTCTGGCTCTTCACTCCTGAATTCCCAGCACCTCCAATCAGCATGTAGCCAGTGCTCAAAAAAGATGTGAATGAACTGTGGACACAAGTTCAAGGGCAAACTATTAATAGAGTCAATCATTTTATAAATAAAAACTAGAGTCATCAGTGTCTGAGGTGTGTTCACATAAAATCTTAAAAGTATAGGGAAGAATTTAGGGCAAAAGTCAGACAGAGAATGACAAATACCATATGACCTCATACTTATATGTAGAATTGAAACAAAAAATTACAAAACAAACAAACAAACAAACAAAAAAGAGGAATAGACTCAACAGATACAGAGAACTGATGGTTGCCAAAGGTGAGGGAGGTGGGGGGAAGGGTAAAAAGGTAAAGGGGAATAAGAGGTATAAATTTCCAGTTATAAAATAAGCCACAGGGATGCAATGTACAACACAGGGAATATAGTCAATATCATAATAACTTGCACGGTGATAAACAGTTAATAGACTTATTGTGGTGATCACATCGTAAGGTATATAAATGTCAAATCACTATGTTGTACACCTAAAACTAACACAATATCATATGCCAACTCTACTTTAATAAAAAACTTTAAAAAAAAAAGAGTTTAGGGCATTCCGATACATGAATTAAAGCTAAAACAGGAAGTGATGAAAGGCTACTTTGGAGTGATTATACGCAGGGGATCAGTCAAACTGCTTTGCAGATACAAGATGGGACTAAGCAAACCGAGTTCAAGTGGTTTCTGAAACAACAGGGAAGCCTCACGGGTGAATTATAGCCTTGAATTCACGAGAGAGCCAAATGTTATTATTTATTCTTTCTGATTAACAAAGCAGGCGGAAGTAACATTTTTTTGGTGTTCCACCCCCTCACATACACACCTTCAGTCAGCATTTTAAATTTAGGAAGCTGACGTCAATTCAGGGGTACTACAAGTTACAATGTTCTTTCATGTATGTCAGCAAAGTAATACACCCCTTTATTTTTTAGTGAATAAAAGGAAATTACTTACTTCCTGTTATGGTTTACCTTGAAATGGGCTTCAATAGCTATTACGGTAATATACCACAACTCTGAACAATGAAGATATAACACAAATACTTTGCCTGGTAGTCCTATTTTTCATGTCTTGTATTTTAACATATATTATCCTATACTAGTACTTTCTGCATATATCATTTTCATCTGGGAATCTCATAGAATGCTGTAATTTCTTGTATACAGCCCCATAAAAGTGTTCCTCATTTTTTGTTAAAGAAAACCACTAAAAACTTCTTAAAGAGAAAAACATGAGAAGGGAAATGGACAAGTATGGGCATATAAGCGGAGTGTTAATATAGGCACATGTTGTATAGGTAACTTTTTAATAAGAGAAACTTCAGATGCATAAGCTTAATGCATGTGTCCATGAAACAACACAGATTCACCAACGAGAAACGAGATCAGAGAAACAGCACAGTTTGTAATAAATGAGGAAATTTGCCCCATGCCACACAGCTAACGAATGGCAGGAATCTGGACTATCATACAACTTGAATGAGATGCTCTCTGGCTTTTGAATAGGAGTCCAGAGACCTGGCTTCTGGTCTTTTTCATCTCAGGGCCGTCACCAACTCTGGGGCCCTGGGCAAAATGGCTTTTCCTTTAGGGTCTCCAGGCTTCCTCTGGGGTTGGAATAGGAGTATCTCCTGACTCCTTCTGTCTGTGTACCCGTGACTCGGAGCATCTCGCAGACTTCCTCGGATCCTATGTGTACAGCTTTAGCTGTTCATCGTAGAAGCTCCTTGGTGGAATCTGGCTTGTCCCAGCATCCATGTCTTGCTCTCATCACCCAGGTGTACTAAAGAGGAGCACCTCGCAAAGATCCAGCTGTAGGCCTGGTCTCTCACTCCTTCCTCTTCATTTCTGGTGGCAGTTGTATTGTACAGCTTGAGTGCCTAATTAAACTTCCCTACCGTGTTAAGCAACTTGGCGGTATAAATTACAAAGGGGGGCCAATCTCAGGTAGAGGCGCGTGTTATTACTAAGTTACTGCAATTAAGGTTTAAAGTCCAGTATTGGCCAACTCAGTTTGTCCCTCATCAACCCTACTGGGATCCCTAGAAATCCAAACTTTCTGTCTTCTTCAGAGCACTAATGAAATGATGCAGATGGGGTAGTGATGGTGGTGGTAGGCATGGTAGCCATGGGGGAGAGGTGAGGGCGCAGATAACCTTGATAGGGTAGTGGTAAGTCTGTCCACAAGATAACACTCAAACCCTATTTTTATTTTGTGTCGGGGGAGGGAGTTTTACATTGTCACAGAAAAGAACAGCCCATGCCACGATTATGTGGCTAGCATAATAAAGCAAATGTGTGTGTGTGTGGTGGGGGGAGGTATGTAAGGCACAGTGAGCTCCCCATACATACATTGCTAGTCTCCTAGCCTCCCCCAGTACTTCCCTGTCCCTCAGACCAGCACTCCCTGAGGGCCAGGCCACAGCATTCTTAGCCAAGAATTTTTCAGCAGTACACCCTGTCTTTTTTATCCTGATGTTCCTGCCTTTACAACTGGGGAGTATGTCTTTAAAAACAAAAGTTCGGAGCTGCCCACAACTCCAATCAGCACAGACATCTTCCCTCAGCCCCAATCTCCTTCTTCTTCCCTTAGCTTAAAGCCACAGCACACCCATCTGCATATTAAAAGGAGTTCAACTTCATGGAATTTTAAGGGTCACCAGTCCAACCATGACAACCATGACAAAATGTATACCTTACGGTCTTAACTGCAATCAACAGAAATACCAAAGACCCCCACGCTTGTAGTAATATTTAAACACACGACACGTGCTTTGTAATAATTTTAGTGACTTAACTTGAGGAGACATTTTGTCACATCCCCATTTAAATGACGAAGGCAGGAAGGGACCACATAGCTTGCCCAAAGTCACATCTGGAAGTAGGGCTTTCTGTCAACTCCTAGCCCAATACCGAGCCACTGCACCCATTAGCAGAGCCACTGCACCCATTAGCAGCGGCCATCCA